TCCCATCCCCATCTTGCTCCTGCTGGTGGGAAACTTTTCACAGGGTTTTTCAAACACTCATATGGGTGGTGGCCAGGAAATCTGCCCCTGCAGCATGCCACATGCGTCCTGCCAAGCCCTCCATCCCCTCTGGCATGGGAAGCAGCCAAATGCTCTCTACCAGACTCATGACATTTTTTTCCTGCCGGTTTAGTTTGTCCGTTCAACAACTGCATTCAACAATGCAATTATTTGCCTTTCCCCAGAGCTCCTCCTCATTTACAGGAGGACACCTTAACCCCTGGACTTGCTGGAGCTCTGGAAAAGCCCTTCCAGCTCCAATCTTTGCAGGGCACGCGCGTGTCCAGCCGTGTGAAAACCCCAGGTTCCCTACAGAAGCCTGTGGTCCCGTGGCCTGGCTGCTTCCTGAGGGGACGTTAGCAACCTGAACTGCCCCTTGAACCAGAGGTGACCTTTTCTGTTTGACAGAGGAGCCCAAAAGGACCAGAGGACATGGAGAGGACAGAGAAAGACAGAGCACAGTCAGTGTAGGTATGGGATGGTTTCTGCAGCACCATCATGACAATGCAGAAGCAAAGGAGGAACAAGAGCTGCTGGGAAATGTACTGACACCACACCGTGCCAGAGCTCCTTCCACAGCTGCCCTCAGACCCCCCCTCACATTTCCTGGGCTGTGGGGTGGTATATGGCCTGTGACCATGAAGGACAGGCAGCTTTCCCATGGTACTGCCCTTGCCAGCTCGGACTAACAGTATCTTGGTTAAAGGAGAAGGGCAAGAGCTGAGCAGAGGGAGGGAGTCCCTGCTAAGAAGGTTTGAACCTTTGGCTAAGCTTTCATGAGCTCTTTTGCGGTGTGGCTTGGTTTTGACTCAAGCACCCCATGAAGCGGAGCATCCCTGCATGGCCAAGGGGAGTGCTGAGCCCAGAGGGACATTTCCCATCAGTTGTGCAGTGCAGGGGGGGAGGCGGTGGCAGGGGGTGCAGCGAGAGAGGAGGCAGTTGTTTCCAGGTGTGGATGGCAAGGCTAAGGACTGTACTGTCGGTTGGGTGGGTGGATCTCATGGCTGTTAGTAGAGCTGGAGCTGGAGCTTCATCCTCAGTGCTTGGCCCAGCTCCCCTGCTAAGTAGTTGAGGTGGTTCTTGGCCTCTAGTTTCTGCAGTTCCCTCTTGCGGTACAGGGGCACGCTCACGATTTCCAGCAGGTAGGTGCCAGGCACTATTTTCTTGCGGCCGAGGTGCAGGTAGCTGAGCCCCTCTTTTTGGTGGATGCGGAAGTAGCCATCCTCATTCCCGTGGGAGATCAGGTACCGCACACGGTTCTCCAGGGGCTCCACAGCTGGCAGGAGCTCCAGGATGTGCTCCTTGTGAGCCAGGTCAGAGAGGTTCAGCATCATGGACAGAGGAGCATCCACATCCATGCTGGCCAAGTTCACGGTGTGATCCTTCAAAAGGAACCAGGCATGTTACTTAGAGATACCAAGAAAAACTCATGGCCAGGTGAAGGAGGACTTGATTTAGAGGAGTTCTGCCCCATGAGCCACCACAGAGCAGCTCTGAGAAGTAGCTACACCTTCTATGGTCCTTGCTTTCCTCCAGGTGTTCCTTGGTACCCTGTTTGTGTCTCTGAGACTGAACCAGCCAGGACACAGCCCTCACCCTCAGGGGAAGAACCAATAGCTTCAGAGGCACTTTCTTCCCAAGGCCTGAAGGGCCCATAATGACCTCCCAGACCAATCTGTCCTGCCCAGGCCTGTGAACTTCTTGGGGGAGCCTTGGATAGAAGCCAGAAGTTCCCTCCAAGGGATAACCTGTATTTGTAGTGACAGGTCCAGCGTGGAGTCAGACAGTAAGTGCTGACAGTCCTCTATGGCCCTAGGGAGCTGCTCCCCCGTCACCTCCCCTTGCAAGGAGACGTGTGCTTTATTTCTTGGTCACATGTACCTCCAGACATCCGTGGCCAAACCACACAAGTGTGTGCCACTGAAGACTGTCCTGACCTCCTCTAATGCACTGCAAAAGACCTTCCATCTCTGCAGGACTGCGGGACTCAGTGGTGTCCACAAACACCCCAGCACCCTGCACGGGCAGGTACAGAGGGAGCAGCTCTCTCTGCCTGGACCAAGGCAGCCCCACAGGAACGGGCACGCTGCACGGGATCCGCTCCAGGCAGCTATCCCCCAAGTGACCCAGCTCTTGCCTTGCTCCACCCCATCCCAGATGCCATGGATTTCATACCTGGTGCTTCTCAGTGCCGTTGACACTGCGTCGCTGCCGACCCCTCTTGGGGTAGCCGTTTATCTTGCACTCGTAGCAGGTTTCAGGGGAGAGCAGGTTGTCTTCATCCTCTTCTTGGGGGGCAGGAAGGTAGGAACCTTTCCCAAAACCCAAGCCAGAAATACAGTGTCTGGTGGCAGAAGAACAGAGAGGCCCAGCTCAGATCCATGCTTCCAGAAGGAAATCTTACCATTGCCCTCAGAGATCCTCCACGTGGCACCCAGAGACACATGGAGGATCATGCCTGGGTTTAGGACATGGCTTGTACAGAATAGCTTGTACACAGGACATGCCTGAGACAGATCTGTCTTGTTCAGATGTGGCCAGTAGGTTTAATCTATCTGCACCCTGGACTAGATGGGTCTGCAGAGCATCTGCTACAGTGCTAGCAGCTGCAATGACCATTGGATTAGTGAAATGGAAGAGGAGAGGCACGTTAGCATGAGGATCTTGTGATGGGTGAGGAACAGCCTGGCATGGAGAAGCTGAGGACTCATGTGGGAATGGAGCTTACTGGCTCCTGGGGCTCCTTCAAATTGCACTGGTGGCAGAGGGCAGAAGCGTGGTGATGGAGCATGTCTGGGGGCACCATGCACTTGGCAGCCTGCAGTATCCCCCAGGAACATCCAAGGTGCCTGTGGGGC